AACATGATCTAATAATATAACTAAATTGGCCCAGGGAACTCGACTATATTTTATTGTGGTATGTGTGACCCGGAGATGTTCCATATTGACCTAATATTAAGCGCCCTCACCGACAGGGGAACTATTTTGTTGTATAGTGTTGCCAGGGAACTGCTGTAAGCTCAGCGGTTACGTTTTTCTAAAACATTACTCCTACCAAAAAGCACTATACTGTTATGTAAGTGTATATATTGAGCAAATTTAAACGGAAAAGCAGCCTGTCTGAATAACTTGTCGTTGGGTTTTTTTGTTCGTTTTTGCAACCGTTTTTGAGGTAAGTGTTTACTCAAAACTGTACAGCCTTATGGGCGCCATCTTGAATATTTAGTTGCTCTGGGCATCTCGTCTTGAAATATGATTTAAAATACGATTGCTAACTCCATTGTCGTCATTTCATCACGTGAAATATATAACAGCTAAAATATACATATTTGGCAGCGGTTATACAAAGAAAAAAGTTATACAGCGAAGTCGATCACTATGAACAATACGGTGCACCTTTTCTTGTTCCGATCTGAAGGAGTTTAGCTATAATTATGTCACTCACTTACACAGTCTAGCTACAATCTAAAACGGAAAATAAAAACTTTTCTAAAAATATAAAACAAATCAAAAACAATAAAGACAATTTGCAGACAATGGTGAATACAGAATATAGAATGAACACAAAATGTGGCCTAATACACTGATAGTTGTAATGTTGCTGTTTTGTTCTAGTTGTCTAGTTGAGCTACTAATTTTGGGAAATGGTAAACCCAGAAAAAGATTTGGTAGTCTAGTGAAATTTGGGCTACTGTTTAATTTTCAGCTCCAGTGTGAAGTCTAGTATAATTCTTCACGCTGTGTTACTGTTGTTTGTCTCAATACCACAATTTATAAGACTTCAACAATCATATTTTCCTAAAATCTTTGTATTTATTTATTTTATTTATTTACTTACTTACAAGAAAGAAAAATAGAAAACAATATGCTAGATAACAAAATACAATAATTAAATTACTTAATAATTCTAAATCACTAAAATACTAAATAATGTAAAATTACTAAAATAATGAAAAATATGTAAAATTTGTCATAACGGAGAAAAAAGAGTAAATCAAGTTGGAAAATTGAAAAATACACCAAATGTATGGTGAATTTGTATTTTGGTTGCACATTTCATACATTTTATTTTCTACCATTGCAGCAATAATTTTTGTTTTATCCTCACAGATTAATATTAAGTATTCAAAATGTCTGAACAAGGAGATGTAGCAGGCCCAGGATCAACTCGTAATACAACACCAGCTCCTTCAGAGCCAGCTAGTCAACAAGGTGGTCATGCTCAAAGTGATAGTCCTGAACATTCCAAGATTGGAGAAGGATCTGAGTCTGGCACTGGTAGAGTATCAAGATCATCTAAGTTATCAGGTAAATTTATGTTCCACAATTCAAATTTTCAAGTAAGATATTTTTGTAAATTGTTGAAATTAGAGGTCTGGTTGTTATTATTTGATATTCTGCAAAAACAACTGTAACTGTGTGTCTCCCTGGCTTAATGTTATACTGTTTGCAACATTTTGAAGCCTTTTGGCAGCTGAAAATGAAATAATATGCCAGAATAATTCAATAAATACAGTTACAGTGTTTGCAACATATTCATTGTGATTGGGTTTTCAAGTCACCGATTACATGATGGGTTTTTTGTTTGACAATCAGAGATGGATTGTTTCACAAAATCAATATTTGGTGTAAAGCATCTTTAATTCTCAAAAAAAAATAGTACATTATATATGTGTAGACCATAGCCTAATAAATAATCATTCTCCCCTTATTATAGGACCTCTAAGTGTGCTTGGGGAAGGAGAACAGTCGTCTCTAGTGAACGGTGAATTGGTACCAATTGAGAGTGATGAAATTGCTAACATTGAAGAAAATGGTGAACTTGTTGCTGCAGAAGAAGAACCACCAAAAGAACCCACTCCAGAACCTGTAGATTTGGTATGTATTATACACTGAATAATGTCTGTACTATGGAGATATGTTTGTAGTTCAACATCATTTTTACTTTGTCAATTCCTTTTAATTGCAGAAAATCCTTGTCAAAGAAAGAGTGATTCTAACAGCACTGAAAGATGACATGTGGAAAGTTGAACATGATTTATCTATTGACAAATTCCTGCTTCAAGAAAACGGAACTAGTCGGTTGCTAGTAATCTATATTGATCCATTTAATGGACTTATTGTTGATACCAATATACCGGTACAACAAGTAGAAGAACTGTGTTATTTTATTAAAATTGATTCTGAAATTATCACGCCAGACAATTTTCAGCATTGTATACAGTATGGTACTGTACATACTGGTTATATTGAGAGTTTACTAAGACTCATGCATGGTATTTACACACCAATATTTATTGAAAACAAGTCATGGCCTGACAGTATCCTTTTTATTAAATATACATCTTTTTCATCACTACTATGAATGTATTACATCTGTGGTTCAACTTTCACTATTTTGGCTATAATGTTCAGTACTATAGGTTTTAGCTATATTGATATTTTCTAGATGTTTCTCATGGAATCAATTGGATGGTTTTTATTGTTAGTTCCTATTCAAAATCTGAAAACGGAGACTTATGTTTTGACCTGTGACCTTTTAATGCCTGCTTCTCCACCTGTATGTCTGACATGCCTGGACCAATTACATTCAGACATATGCACATTTATTTGTTTGGTGATCCAATTCAAAGTGGCCGAATGGCGGCCATTTTAATTTAATGACATTTCATGTTTAAACTTTATTTATTTCTTAATTTACTGGGACTATATAATGTAATTACTTGTAACAATTTATAAAACGATAGACAAGTGTTGAATATTCTGGTGAACAACAGTGTGCACATTATGCACGTTTTGGACATTAAGTTGTGTTGTGCTTTTTATCTTTTATGACCACAAGCATCTATCTTCTTCTGTTAATCTGTCGGTCTTTGATTCTAGGACTGATTGATTGTTGAAAAACTGAATGTTGATACTTACTTTTCCTTCTTGCAAAGTTATCATTCCTTAATTATTTGTTGTCAGGTATTAAGAATGATTTTTCTGCACAGTTACATCGGTTTATGGCTAGCTTAACAGATACACATTATAAGATGAAGGGACACACTGTCTTGTACATTCCAAATGAAGGTTTGAATATTCCTCCTGAAAGAGCTGCTAAAGATAAAGAACTTGTACAAAGACTTGAAAGTATGTAATGTTTGAATAGCATACTGCATCTAAAGACATATTCTACTGTCTCTCTAACCATACAGCTCATTTAGATGTTTTGGTAATCATATGACCAAGATTGTGAAATGCTAACAAATTAGTCTTTTTGTAATGCCGATCATGAATGTGTACAAAACATATTCCTTACTATAGTAGATTATATCTTATATATACCCCGGTAGTAAATATGAAAGAATACCCACCATAATCATCTTCCTTTGCATCGCTGGGTAATGTTGTATTTTTCTATAGAAAAGTGAGTGATGCATATGTATAAGTTATATACAAATGTGTGTCTCATATCAATGTCAATTTGTATTAGCTGCTATGGTTCACTGGACAAGACAAATTAAAGAAGTATTAGCCAACCAAGATGCTTTTGAAACAGCTGAAAACTCCGGACCATTGGAAGAGATTGAATTCTGGAGGTCAAGGTGTGAAGATTTATCTGGTATCAGTTCACAGTTAGAAAAGGAAGGAATCAAGAAAATTGAGAATATTCTTGAAGCTGCCAAGTCTTCTTATGTGAAATCCTTTAAAAAGCTGGCTAAGCAAATTCAGGTGTGTATGGCTGCCACAAATCTTTTTCTAATATGCAATTCTACCTTTTAAACTATTGTCACCTTAACAAAATAAGTAATTTGACCAAGAACTGTTATTGAAAATACTGTTAATTTGGTGGGGTCTCAAATTAACAAAGACAGAATTCTAGAAAATACATAAAAAAAATGTAAAATGTCACACCAACAATCATTTTAATTATATCTAAAATGAATTGTAATTTCTTTACAGGATGGTTCAGCTCAGGCACAAAGTAATTTGAAGTTCTTATCTGTGTTAAAAGAGCCATGTGAAGAACTGTCACATGCCAGCCCAAAAGATATCCCAGCCATGCTTCCCAAACTAATCAACAGTGTCAGATTTATCTGGGTCAATTCTGAACATTATAAAAGTAGAGAGCGACTTACTGGTCTTTTTAGAAAGGTATACATATTAGAAAAGACTTGTTATTACTAGTGTAAAACTAACTTGTAATACCAGTGTAATTACTGATGGTATATTGGATTTAAGTCATATGACAATGATGGTACCAATTCATTATACCATGGTGATTTCAATTTGTATTATGTTGTTATAGGTGAGCAATGAGATCATCCGTCGTTGTTGTAAAGAAATTTCTCTTGAGAAATTATTTGATGGATATGTGGTTTCCAGCACGAGAAGTCTAAATGAAAGCATTGACTGTTGTAAAGCATGGAAAGAAAAATATGCATATGTGAGTATCCAAATATCTAGCTTTCTATTCTATTTACCAATTCTAAATTGACATATGCAGTAGTTAAACAAGATTTGTTTATTTTCAGCTTCGTAGTGTTCATCACAAGTTTTCTGAAGATGGTTGGGTGCTAGATCAGACAAGCATCTTTGCACAAGTGGATGCATTTGTACAGAGATGCAAAGATCTTCTTGAGGTAAGTCATTATAAAACCATGAAGGCAACGAATATTATATATTAGCTAATGACAAAATATAAACATTTGTGCCACTGTGCAGGAGATCATTTCGTCTGTGTTAGGAATGTTCTCTTTGTGTAACAGTGTTTTTATTACATGACTTTCAGTTGATAAACAATTTTCATTATGATGAGTGAAACTGTCATGTTAGCTGCATAGAAACAGCCAATGTTGATAGCAATGATCAATATAATCTTAAAATACACTGGATGTTTCTATTTATAAACCATGTGTTGAATTTGTGAAAGTGTGTAATATAATATATTGCCACGAGCTCAAACAAAATTTGTACGAGTAACTTGCAACTTCCCTGGGAAAGT